TTACTTTTCTCATCTTTAACATCTCTTGCATAAACGTCCCAGTCAGGAAAAATGTGGTGGTTGATATCTTCCCAGGCCCTCCTCTTCGTTGCACGGCTCTTATATTGTGTGTCCTGGGAGTCATATAGGCAGGGGTATCCTCTGACTAAGCAGATAAAGCCCTCAGGATAAAATAAACTCACTGTGTCTTCCATATTGGTTAAAATGATTGCTTTGTGATTTCCTGTTAAAATTTTTTAAATTAGTTTTGAGAGGTAACTTTTCATTTGCACAGAAAAACGTTCCTAGTCACATGACAAAAAGCACATAAGCTCATAAAAATGTGTAATTTGCGCGTTCTTATGTATTTCAATGGGAATAAAAACGCACCAGAAACGCTTCAATCTGCGCAAATGAAGCTACAAAAGTAGCTCCAAAACTTTTTTGAGCTTCAGGCGTTCTGCTTCAGGCGACTTGGAGTGGAAATGTGAACCATCTCCATAGAGTAATATTGACTTTTTTTTCCCCCCGGGCGTTTTGGAGCTTCGAGCTTCATGCTACAAAACGTTCAGGTGTGAATGGGGGCTTACAGCCTCCCCACGGACCAGAAGGCGTGTGGTTTTTCCCTGGCTGGGCTGCATTCATTCACATTCTTTCACACAGGAATTGGGGACAAGTAGTTTATTTTGTGTGTAATGTTCATGGACAGCAATGTTTATGCATTTACGTGATGGTATTCTTGTTGTTGTTTTTTTTTTTCCCTGATATATCGCTTTGTCGTACAATTAGGTAATGCTTTGTTTATATCTTATATATGTATATACACTATATTGCCAAAAGTATTGGGACACCTGCCTTTACACGCACATTAACTTTAATGGCATCCCAGTCTTAGTCTGTAGGGTTCAATACTGAGTTGGCCAACCCTTTGCAGCTATAACAGCTTCAACTCTTCTGGGAAGGCTGTCCACAAGGTTTAAGAGTTTGTCTATGGGAATGTTTGACCGTTTTTCCAAAAGCGCATTTGTGAGGTCAGGCATTGATGGTGGACGAGAAGGCCTAGCTCACAGTCTCTGCTCTAATTCATCCCAAAGGTGTTCTGTCGGGTTGAGGTCAAGACTCATTCATGTCTTTATGGATCTTGCTCTGTGCACTGGCGCGCTGTCATGTTGGAACAGGAAGGGGCAAGCAACAAACTGTTCCCACAAAGTTGGGAGCATAAAATTGTCCAAAATGTCTTGGTATGCTGACACCTTAAGAATTCCTTTCACTGCAACTAAGGGACCAAGCCCAACCCTTGAAAAATAACCCCTCCACAGACAGAGAAGCGTGATTCGCCACTTCAGAGAACACATCTCCACTGCTCTAGAGTCCAGTGGCGGCATGCTTTACACCACTGCAACTGCCACTTTGCATTGCACTTGGTGATGTAAGGCTTGGATGCAGCTGCTTGGCCATGGAAACCCATTCCATGAAGCTCTCTAAGCACTGTTGATGTGCTAATCTGAAGGCCACATGAAGTTTGGAGGTCTTTAGCTATTGACTCTTCACACATTTGGCGACTTCTGCGCACTGTGCACTTCAGCATACACTGACCCTGCTCTGTCGTTATACATGGCTTACCACTTTGTGGCTGAGTTGCTGTTGTTCCCAGTTGCTTCCACTTTGTTATAATACCATTAACAGTTGACGGTGGAATATTTATTTGAAAGGAAATTTCATGGATTTCACAGGTGGCAACCTATCATGGTACCACGCTTGAATTCACTAAGCTCCTGAGAGCGACCCATTCTTTCACAAATGTTTGTAGAAGGAGTCTGCATGCCTAGGTGCTTGATTTTATATACCTGTGGCCATGCGGGTTATTGGAACACCTGAATCTAATGACTTGGAGGGACGTTTTACTTGTTATAGAGTAAAACTTATTTGATGTTGGAGTTACATACAGGGTGTCCAAGATCCTGAAGAAGTGGCTGTGTCCACAAAATGTGCATTATCACACCTCCAATGATTAACCTGATAGCTTTAACTGTCTGTTGGAAGTATTTTCCTTTTGCAACTTTAAATTAGGACACTTTATTTGTAAAAAAAAAAAGTTGTTCTATGAATTTTTTTTGGTTCCTAGTAGGCATCATTAAAAGAAACCCCACATGCTCTTGTTTTTTTTCTGTTGGTTATACAGTATATATTGGGATAATGCCTCTGGTGCATCATTATTCTCTGATCCTGTGATGGTTCTATATCACAGTGTAGAATAACTACGCAAAATCTGTCCTGGCTTCTACAGCCTGCTTTCTACATGAACACGAAGGGGTTTGCTGTGTCACGCTAACAATCTCAGTTACCCAGGAGTGAGATACCCCAGTACAAGGAGCTCCATTTTCAAAGGCAGTCCAAGTTCACTTACATGGTAATTCCAGAACACTCCTGCTTCCCAAGCTGCTTAACTAACTCTTCCTCTTGTTAATATAGAGTCAGCACAAAGGGGCAGAGAGGACTACACCAACAAGGAGGAGGGAGAAAAATACCACCGCTCAGCATAAGGAATACTTCTATTTAAAGCCTCTTACAAGCAATGGAGATACCTTTTGGACAACAGCATTGTTAATCTGGGGAGATGTTGGTTTTGGAAGTATTAACAGATTTAGATGGACTTAAAGTGATACTAAAAACACATTGTTTAATTTACGATATCCCCTATCTTTCTGTATGTGGATGATGGCACTGTAATTATTGCAATAAAATAAACATCTAAGCACCTTTTTTTCCTAATCGATATACAGCTGTCACATGACCCAGCCCTTTCCCAGCCTGTCTTTAGGGAAAAATAAGCAGGAGAAGCTTCTAGTCCTTCAAAAAAAAAAAAAACAGCCTTTGGAATACAAAGTAAACATAAATATCAATAAAGTGTTTTAAACTGTCATACAAATATATATTTGAAGTCAAATCTTTATAATTTTTTGGGTGGGTGGATTTCTGCCAGTCACAGGCTGTATCCCGCCCTTTCAGTCTGTGTCTTAGAATAACATGGAGGTAAAGCCTCCATCAATCAAAATGTAATATTCCACCCCCATTGTGTTTAACTGGTTAGTGAGCATGAAGGAGGCTTGAAGGAGTGTGCTGTCATTTACCACTTTGTATACGCACACATGTGTGTCTCTATAGTCTCATGAACTATTTATATGTGATGGAGAGGAAATGTTTAGCATAGAAACTCACTGAAAGGAACTCACTGAAAACTGAGCATGTGCAGTAGCTGCCAACACTGCTCTACAAAATGCCTAGCTGCACTGGGGACATGGACAGAATGAGAGGATAGAGAACAGCAGGATCAGCCAATTTCTTTGCAGAATACATAAAATAATTCCTATAGTGATTGAGTATGAACAGCATGTAATACAGCCTTTATTGATAGTTTTTTTATGATTTTTTTAGTGACATGAAATTAAAAAAATTAACCAGTTAGTCTACAGAGCAATTTTTTTTTTATTTTTCGCATGCATCTAAAAATCTTAATTTATGGCAATAAAATTACTTAACCCCTCATAAAATGATACATTTTTTGAAAGCAGAGACCCTGTAGAATGAAAAGGTGATAGTTGCAAATTTTTATGTCATATGATGTTTGCACAACTGTATATTAAATGCAAATTTTCAGGAAAAAATATACTAAAATGAATTTAGTGCAAAAACACACAATACAATACCCATTTTTGGTAAAATATAAAAGATGAGGTTGCATCGAGTAAATAGATATGAAACATTCCATGTCCTAAAATTGCTTGCACCTGCGATATCACCAAAAACAAACTGTGCCAAAAATCACCTTAGGTGACGTTTTATCAGCCTTTACAGTGCATCAGTTTAAAGTGAATTGGGAGCTCTTGTGCTAGATTATTGTTCTCACTCTGAAATCTGTGTCGATATGTCACACGTGTGGTGCGAACATGGTTTACACATGCTTGCACGCCCTGGGCTTGCGTTTGTGCAGATGTGCGGGGCAACAGGGGCTACTGCAATTTTTTAATTTTTTTTGTTATTTTTAGCACTGGGTAGGTGACAGGTACTCTTTATGGAGACATTAGGGGTCTCTAATAGACCCAGAGTCGGACTGATCATTGAGGGAGTCGGGCACTGCCCGAGGGCCTGGGGACAGTAGGGTGCCCCACAGGGGAGGACTGACAACTCATGGTACCCCCGGGCTATAGGGGATCATGTGGCCCCTGTGTCCTTGTCCAAACTCAAAAAAGCCTATGAAAAAGGTACCAGGGGCATCTCATGGGCCCCCTACTGACCCGGGCCCTCGGGCAGTGCCCGAGTTTCCAAATGGTCAGTCTACCCCATGAAATGCCCCTGGTACTTTTTTATAGGCTTTTTTGGGTGTGCTTTGAGTGTGGGCAATGACACAGGGGCCCCATGATCCCCTATTGCCCGGGGGCCCCATAAGTTGTCAGTCCGCCCCTGAATAGACCCCAACGTCTGCCCTGCCCTTCCCACCATTTAACCAAGCACAGATCGGCTTGGTTAGATGTGTCCTCTGTCTGTACTTGCGAGGAAATGGTGTATCTGAGGTTTCATTGTTTACATGGATTTGCTTTGGTCTCACAGCGCTCTCCCTCTCTTAGCTGGCAGTTGTGTTTTTGGGCTCTGGTTAGAGAGGGAGAGCCAGGGAACCACTGGAGGAGGAAGCCATCAGCAGGAGAGGGCACCACGCTGGCGGCTATGTGAAGGTGATCGGCAGGTGCCTCATCACTGACTTCCAACCCGGGAGACAGCTAAAGACCTGCAGCCATTAGCTTGTGATTTAAGGATCACTCTTGGGACATGCGTAGTACATCCAAAGAGCTGAACTGGTTAAAGCTGAACTCCAGCTAACACTTTTTAAGCAGTTGCAGCAAACAACTTGTTTTCCTTGTTGGATAAGATGAACAAAAGTTGACAATTGGAAGCATCTGTATCAGTGTTAAATGATTTGTCTCAACCCTCTAACTTCCACTTTTTTCTGGACAGCTTGGTCTGGTAGCCTCCCTGGCGGTATTTCCCGAGTGTAGCTCGGGGTAAAGTTTCATTACCACAAGTGGTAACCCCGAGCTACACTCGGGCTTACCATGCGGCGCTGCTCCAAGATCTGTTCTTCTCTTACCTTGTCCTGCGCTCCCACGATGTCCCTCCTGCAGTGTCCCCTGTATTGTCCTCCGGCGGATGCCGGCATCTGTCTCCTGGGTTCCGTCCCCTGCGACGTCGGGACATTCGAGGACAGAACGGCGGGAAATTTGAAAATGACAAAAAGTGACATTCACTAAATACACTAAAATCACATAGTAAAACATTACTGTATCAAACCATTTCACATACATTTTGTCCCTAGTGCTTTGTCCTGTACCCTGCCTACATTTTTACTGTTCTTTTTGTGCCTGGAAACTGAGAAACGTCCATGGCGTCCAAAAAGCGTCCCTTTAGGTCAAAATCAGTTTTAGACCAGCTAGAGATCAGCGATAGTAAATTAGAACTACTTGCAGAATTGAGTGATAATGATTCGTGGGGAAATTCGTCATCAGACACTGAAAACGATTTTGCGACTTTGCTCAGTGATGTGCGAACTTGGCGCTCTATTACAAACTTCAGTGTTTTTGGTTTGATTATATTATTGAATTAAATTTATTATTATATTATTGTTTTTTTTTATGATTATTTATTAAATTATAATTTATGATTTCGTGTTTCAAATTTTAACATACCTGGGATGTTTACTAGACTCTTGTTCGGACAGCTTTCAGTGAGTTATTCCTAAGAATTACAGGCCTACAATAAAAAAAATACATATTTCCATGCAAAAAAATGTACCGCTTTGAGCACAGAAATATGGACATAATCAGACTGCTACGGAGGTTAAGGGAAGTGGAAACATTACAGACTTACTGGCCAGACCACCAGGTGAAAAATAAAGGAAAAACGCTGAAACCAAGAAAACTAACGTAACCACCACATCCTAAAATTTGTAAGCTGTCATATAATACATTTTTTTGGTGTTTAATACAGTTTTAAAGTGTGAATAAAGTATTAAAAAAAATATTTTTTTTAAAATATATTTTGCATAGTGTGTTGATGGGTTAGAACCAATGACAGAATATTATTGCTGGTGTGTCCCATGAGGGTAGTTCACTCTCTTTAGTTTTACAAATCACCAGTGTCATCAGAATAATAGTGATGATAAATCTACAGTTTTGCGGTTCCACCAGAACAGGCATAGTGGGAAATCTTCTAAGGGTGACACATAACTCTGTGACACCTGTCTAAGAGTAGGATATCCACCACATTGGATAAAGATCTTTTCAGTTCCTGTTGAGTCTATAGGACAGGAAGTGAACAGAAATCTCCTTAATGAGATGGCACAAAAATAAAAAAATGGCAGCGGTTTTAACCCACCCCTGCACTCAAAAATGAATACAAAAAGTAAACATTTTGGCTTTGGATATACATTAAAATAATATATCACTGTTTTAGGATCCATGTAGATGCAACAGGAAAATAACTATCAACATAATGCAGCATACATTTACCTGAATATGAAAGGCATCCTTCTTTGAAATGCTTTAGTTTGTGGAGTTGAAAGTAAAATGGGCTTTATTTTAAGTATGATTTGTTATTTTATTTTCTGTAAATGTTCAAAGAAGCAATCTTGACTTGGCTGAAAGAGGAAACCAAGCCCATCTGCATATTTTTCTTCTTTACTTTTCTTGTTCTCAATGAATACACATTTGAAAATAGTGGAGGAGTGCCACTTATAGGTAAGAGTGCTGTGGTTAGAGATGTATGAACCAGTCACAATTAGATCTTCCTGCAAATCGAAAAAACATTTTTTTTTGGGGGGGGGGGGGGGGAGAGATATTCCTTTTCAACATTTTGCAACCTTTCTGGACATTAAACTGGTAGTTAAAAAAAACCCCTGCAAAATAATGTCATAATGTGTCATAATTAGCACATTATGAAAAACTTACCTTAGAACAGGGGCGGACTGACCATTCAAGCACTCGGGCACTGCTCGAGGGCCAGGGGTCAGTAGGGGGCCCCATGAGATGCCCCTGGTACCTTTTATAGGCTTTTTTGGGTGTGGTTTGAGTTTGGGAGAGGACACAGGGGCCCCATGATCCCCTATTGACCGGGGGCCCCATGAGTTGTCAGTCCACCCCTGCCTTAGAACGAAACCCTCCAGTGGCGAGCTGTCACTGCTGACAGGGCTTCCATCTTCATCCGCTCTTCCTTCTGGGTTTGCAGGCTCTGGCCACTTGATTGGGCCGAGCTGCAATTTTACTCCTGTGCATGTGAGTGAGAGTCTCTGCAGCAGCACAGAGCTCTGAAGGAATGGCATGGGTATGCCATTCCTTTAGACACACGTGTCATCGGCTGCAGGGACACTGAAATGTGCATGTTTAGGAGATATTCCTTGTACCTACAGGTAAGCTTTATGATGAGTACAAGTACAAGTGTATAGTGGGAGTTTAATTCCACTTTCAAATGTCCTGAAAAAGGTAAAAAAATAAAAATGCTGAAACTATTGTTCATGGGAGATCCCTAATATATCTTTTCTGTTTCTTGCTTTTCATGGGGAACTTTTTCATGAAGCCCTTTAATTTAAGGAAACAAATAACATTTATCCTATTCAGAAATGTAGTTAAGGTTTACTTAATATAAAATAAATAAATAAATAAATAAATTATATATATATATATATATATATATATATATACACACACACACTGTATATTAATATTACACTACATTGCCAAAAGTATTGGGACACCTGTCTTTACATGCATATGAACTTTAATGGCATCCCAGTCTTAGTCCGTAGGGTTCAATATTGAGTTGGCCCACCCTTTACAGCTATAACAGCTTCAACTCTTCTGGGAAGGCTGCCCACAAGGTTTAGGAGGGTGTCTATGGGAATGTTTGACCATTCTTATGGCAGCTCATTTGTGAGGTCAGGCACTGATGTTGGACGAGAAGGTTTGGCTCGCAGTCTCCGCTCTAATTCATCCCAAAGGTGTTCTGTCTGGTTTAGGTCAGGATTTGTGCAGGCCAGTCTAGTTCCTTCATCCAAAAGTCACTCATCCATGTCTTTATGGACCTTGCTCTGTGCACTGGTGTGCAGTCATGTTGGATCATGAAGGGAGCATCCAAAAACTGTTCCCACAAAGTTGGGAGCATGAAATTGTCCAAAATGTCTTGGTATGCTGAGGCCTTAAGAGTTCCCTTCACTGGAACTAGGGGACCAAGCCCAGCTCCTGAAAAACAACCCCACACCATAATCCCCCCTCCACCAAACTTTACACTTGGCACAATGCAGTCAGGCAAGTACTGTTCTCTTGTCAACCACCAAACACATCCATCAGATTGCCGGACAGAGAATCATTATTTGTCACTTCAGAGAACATGGCTCCAATGCTCTGGAGTCCAGTGGCAGCGTGCTTTACACCACTGCATCTGATACTTTGCATTGCACTTGGTGATGTAAGGCTTGGATGCAGCTGCTGGGCCATGGAAAACCATTCCAAGAAGCCCTCTACACACTGTTGTTGTACTAATCTGAAGACCACATGACCACATGCTGGTAGGTTAATTGGCTCCTGTCTAAATTGGCCCCTAGTATGTGTATGTATGAATGTAAGTTGGGGACCTTAGATTGTACACCCCTTGAGGGTTAGCGACTGATATGAATGTACAATATAGTGCTGCATAAATTGACAGCGCTATATAAGTACCTGTAATCAAATAAATAAATAATTGCAGAGGTTTTTGTAGAAGCAGTCTGCATGCCTAGGTGCTTGATTTTATACACCTGTGGCTATGGAGGTGATTGGAACACCTGAATCCAATGATTTGGAGGGATGTCCCAATATGTTTGGCAATATAGTGTATATATGGTATAGGTCTGTGATGATAATTCCTCATATTTTATCACTTTACAAATACAGCAAGCACAGAAAAGCAACTGCTGAGAAATGTAGTAGACTGAAATCATAAACAGTATTGTTAGTCCTGTCTCAATTCTCCTTCCCATAGACTACAGAGCACTTCCTCCTCTGCCTATCTCCATAACAAAAGGTAGGGAGGGTGTTCTGTAGTCTAGCAGGGAAAAACTCAGACAGGGCAGAAAACAATGCATTGGATTTCAGAAAAGCAGGGGCAACTTTGCCAGCTTGAAGTGTTATTAATAATGGTAAATGGTGCACATATTGCAGAGATGTACTGCATATGTGCTGTGGTGCACAATTTAAAGAATAAGTGCGCTTTCAGACAAAGTGCACTTATTTGTACACTTTGCACAATTTTTCCAAGGCTATTGGATAATTTTCAAATAACTACCTGCCTGTTGCTGTGGCCAAAATGGTTTAATTAGCTGCTGATTCTAGCAGCTATTCTGTTGCTGTGGCCAAAATGGATGAAATAGCTGCTGATTCTAACTTCCCTACAATCCTGGCCTTTTAGGGACCTGGCACTGTGCCCTTGGGTACCCTTCTTTTCACATCTTGAATTTCAGTAATTGCCACTTGTTACACAGAAATAGACATTTTTGTTGCCCTTGTAAATTTACAAACTTAACACTTAGAAGGGACTCCTTGTAACTGGCATACCAGATTTGTAGGGGACCAAAGCATAGCTATGGCATAGCTATATGCATTCTTTCCCATCGCAACAGACATTGAAGGTTCAGCTGGGACCTGCTTCTTCACCTTATTGAAAACTGTGAATGTGCCCAACTACGTAGCTGTCCCATTGGACCTATTGTGAACTGTTGCTGCATTGCTTCAATGCAAGTTTTTTTATTGCACCTAACTGTGTGAATTATTGCCGTTACACTACACTACACTGCACCCCACCTACACCTGTGGCAGTCGGCAGAATATGTTCCTTGCAGCAGGTGCAGAAGGGGGACTGGGCTCCAGCATTGCTCCGCTAGGATCGGTCTTAGCCCTGAGACCAAAGTTCAGTGGGTCTAACATTCCTATGGCAGAGTGGGAGGAGAGACTGGAGAGTGTTTCGTGCCTGTACCAGGTCCCGACGTGGCTGGTGGCGTACTTGGCTATTAACGCTTAATGGTCAATTCCTGCCATGCAGTGATGGAGCTCCTTGAACATGAGCAGGTCACCCTATAACAGATCATGTCACACTTGGAGTGCTTGTTTAAGAAGATACTGCTGCTGGAACTGAGGCAAAGATTTTTCTTAAGGAAGCAGCAGGAAGCCTACCACACGGGATTGTCAGAAATCTGTCCCCTGTTGCATGGCCACTCCGGAGACAATGGGATCAGCTGGAATTGCAAGACAATGTATTCTAACAACAGGCCTTGTGGACA